TCTCAAACACCTCCCAGACCTTTATCACCAAGACCTTCTGAATGGTATGATGGCTCTTGGAGACTACCTTGAATAAACGTACCTCTGGCCACGTAAAATCCACCTTTCACCCTACCCTCTGAGAATATCTTTGCTCTAAACAGAACTCAACCACAAAATCCCACCCCCTGTGCTGAAAAGATCATCATCATTTCTCCTGACGTCACACCACCCATATCTCCAAAACTTCCAACACCTAACTCACCAACGTTTTCACCTCCTCAATCTCCAGAACATGCCCTCAATCCATATCATGAACCATCTGAAACTCTTGAACCATCAGCAACACCTGAACCATCTAAAAATCCTGACCAAACAGAAACACCTGAACAATTAAAAACTCTTGAACCAACTGACTTTCTGAAAACTGTAGTTGATTTTGAATCCCTACAATTTATGAAAAATAAAACCTACAAAAAGGTTGTTCCCAAACCTGTCCAGCCATATGTAAATGTATATTTTCAGAATTTCATAACAGAAGTACAAGCTTGGATAGACCTGCTGAAGGCAGACTGCACCAGCAACGTGAACCCAGCAACAATAAATCTTCTGTGGGAAACGTTCAGATGAACATTAGATGATAAATCACTGAAATTGCAAGACATGTGTCATTCTCAGGTGCTTGAGAATTTCTCCAAACATCTGCATGCCTTCCAATCAGAAGTTGTTGATACTTGGGACAAGACGTCTACTCTGCTGATTGCCAATGCTCCTGCTGATCAAATGGACATTTCAGAAGATGAGTCTGAAGATGCCTCTGAAGATTCAAATCCTCTGGCAATAACTCTGTTTAATCAACCTTCTGCTAAAGTTGCACCAGAAGGTGTGCCAACTCTTATGGTTGATCTGTGCAATCTTCTCTCAAATGTTGTCCGTTCTGACTCAGCTGCTTCTACACCAAAGGTTAGATCTGTTGAAGCTACTTCATCTTCTGCTCCTACTTCACTGGTTATGGATACTCTGAATGAGCTTAAGAAGGAAAATGAAGCTATTCATGAGCGCTTGGACAAGCAGGATGAGACAAATAAGGAAATCAGAAACTGGATGATGAAGCAAGAGGAATCTTCATCTGAAATCAAGAATCTTCTTTTGTCTCTTGTTTCTAGAAAATCTTAAGTGTCATTTTGTTTCTAGTTTTTTGTTTTGTTTTGTACCTCTGAATCTTTTTATAAAAACCTTTTACGCTCTTTAATTCTTTTTATACTTTTTTATTATGACAAAAAGGGGGAGAAAATGAGTATTTTGATCTAATCTTTGATTAACAGTTATGGGACTAAGTCTCAAACATTACTAACAAAATACAAAGATTTCTTTCTCTGTTTAAAGAATTTTGCATGTATCACTAAACTCTGGAAGTTTAATCATCTGAACATCATCTTCAAAAGACTTGCTGAAGAAATCCTAAAAGAAAGATCTCAAAGCTCTGAAGAAAAATCTCAAGAAGTTTTTCTCATACATCTATTTTTTTTCAAAAAAAAGAAATATTTATTTCAGGGGGAGATTCTTATCTCTTGTTCAATTTTTTTTTTCAAAACCTGAATATTTTTGTCATCATCAAAAAGGGGGAGATTGTTAGAACAAGTTTGGTTCTAATCATATCTCAGAGTTTTGATGATAACAATAAAATATATTTTGTATAATTGATACTCTGATGAGCATATTTCTTTCTTTCAGATAATGTTCTGACTGAAGTATTTTCTAAGGTGAAAATCATTTTACGTGTTGAGCTGAATAAAAATGAAGAAGTTCTTTGATGAAAGAACTATTTATTTAGCGCAAGTTTTGACGCTGGCTCTGATAAGAAGCTATTTAAAGCATCCTCTAATCTTAGCAAGTTTCCATGCAAACTCTGTTCAGAAGTATTTTGCAAGCAAGCTCTGATGAGAAGTTATTTGCAAGCAAATTCTGAAGCAAGATCTGAAGCAAGTTCTGAAAGATTAAAGAAGCAAACAGTCTTGTCTAGTTTCAGAAAACAAGCTCTGACAGTGTCGTTTGTTCATTTAATGCAAAGACGACAAAAGCACTCAAGTGTCTCTACGCTAGTTCATTGAAAAAAACAATAATGCAAGCTAACACGCAAACATTAATTGCTCCTCACTTTTGAAGTCAGTAACGGTCGTTTTCCTCATGCTATAAATAGAATATCATTTATTGCAAGCCAACAACCCAAGACCAGAAAACATCTTACGTGAAAATTATTCTGCTGCTCACAAATTATTTTCTTACAAACACTTTGATTTTCTCAAGTGCAAAACTTATCTTAGTGATAAATCACAGTTTGTGATATAGCTTTCTAAGAAGCAATTTGTTTCACTATTGTAAAGATTTAATTCTTGTATTTGTCCCTTGAGAGACCAAGCTTGGTCATATTTCTCAAGAAGGCTAGGACTAGTTTGAGTCTTAGTGGTGTTAGTCACTTGTAAGTTTACTTGTGCTTTGTATTGTTAGTCACAACAGTTTGGTTGTGTGATTCTAATCTGTTTGATTATAGTGAATTAAGTCCTTGTTGAGAAAGGCGAAATCACCTTGGCGGGTGGACTGGAGTAGTTTGAGTTCAAACGAACCAGGATAAAAATAACTGTGTCTTTCCATAATTGTTGAGCTAGTAAGAAAAAGAAAAAGAAAAAGGAAAAACTTATTCAACCCCCCCCCCCCCCCATTCTAAGTGTTTTCTCACCCTTCATTTATGATTTTAAGATTTAATTAAAAAATATTTTTAAAAAAATTAAAAATAAATAAAACAATAAAAAGGTTAAAGAAATTAAAACAAAAATTAAAATGGGCCTGATGTTGGAAGTGATTTTGAGGGTGCAGAATTGAATTTGTGTTAGGCCCAGGATTGCTGGCCCAATGACTGCGTCTGATCCAGTGGGGATCACCTTTGGAGGGTCTACCATGCTCCTAGCTTGCTGTATGTTGGATATGATCAGTGGATGATCCAAGGCATGAGATGTTGAGGTGTATGGTGGAATCCTGACTATGAAACACACTGGATCTGAAACAAGAAAATCAGAAAATAGAAAATGTATGGACCTGGGATCGAACCCAAGCCCTTCCTCTCACACGCGCTTGCCTTTACCATCTGTGCTGAATTGTTAGTCGTGTACATAATTAAACAAAATGAATATAAGGTAAACAGAGCGCTATGCCCAGCTGTCACGCGCGCGCCTTTTGGTGGGTCCCTTCTGTTTGAATGAGCCAATCAATGAACACCACACCATCACCTTCTTCATTGATCCATCGTTTTAGGTGATAGACATTTACCTATAGTTATTTTCGTCACTATAGGCTATAGTGACAGATTTTGTTCGTAGCTACAAACCTGCAACATTCTAAAACACGATTCAAGCAGAATAAATTTCATCCAAAGACATGGATCGACTGCAAATCATCCCCTGAACACAAAGAGGCCCTTAATTTTGTCCAATTTTGCCTCTAGTTAGGGTTCCCCAATTTGAAGCTTCGAAACCCTAACAATGGCAGATAATTATACATGCACTCAAGCTTAAATAGAAATATCCAGAAACATTCACATGATGATCATGAAGACAAATATGCAGTCAAATCATATTTATAATGGATGAATGAGTAAAATCGAAATTAGAAACGATAAGAATAAATCGTGAGTGCAAGGGCGCAGTTCTTGACACTACAAGCTTTGGGAATGATCGTGATAGCTTCCTAGACGTTCAAGGATTATTGTTTGATCCTTAGAACAACTTTAATTGGCCTCCTGAAGTGAAACCGATTTGCACTTTTTGTTGGGAAATTTGGAATTTTTCTCTCTGTTTTGAGGCTAGCTGCGCATCTCTTTTCTTGTGTTCTAGATCTTGAGTGTCCTAATATAAGTAGTGAATTAATCTAGGGTAATAGAATTGGAAAGAATCAAAAGATGTTATGGTCTTTAAGTTTGCTTCCAATCTTTCTAAACATGGAGATTTCTTCCCATTCTCAAACTTGCACGATTTGTTTGGCCATTTGACAGCTCATGAGATATTCAATCAATGCCAAAACAAATCTTATCCCATTTATTTGATTTATTTCTGATTTTATTTGATTTTATTTGAATTTTAAATAAATAAAATCAAAATAAATTATATAAATAAATAAATGAGGCAAGGAGGGTCCCATGGGTCGTGGACCATACTAGGGATAAGATTCAATCTTGAAAAAGATGGGCCCATGTGGAAAAAATGCAATTTTGGGCATTGTTAACTTTGTGCAAATTTCCAAAAATGATCAACTTTGATAATGCATATCTCTCTCAATTTTGACCCTAAGAGGGTGTTCTTGGACTTTTTAGAAAGCTTAGGATGTCCCCTAAGCAACCTATTTGGTTTCATCTCAATTGAATCTTTCATGTTTTTGTAAGAAGCTTTGACCCAAAAGGTGTTTTTGTTGACTTTTGAAAAAGACTTATAATGTCTGAATTTATAACTTTTCATGAGTGTATTTCTTGAACTTGAGGTATGAATATGAGTTGTAGAGAATTGTATTCTCTTCAAAATGAGTCTTGGATGAGAAATTTCTGATAAAGTATGAGAAATTTGTGTCTGATCAAAGTTTGGTTAACTTTTCCTGTAGAAACCCTAATTTAGCAACTTTTAAGTTTTGATGAATTATGAGCATTCCTTGAAGAATCATGATCATAAAATAATGGATATCACTTCAAAATGTTGATGTTGACCAAAAATCTTGAAGTTTGACTGTATGTGGGTTACAGTTGACTTTTGACCTAATATAGTTGATTTTCAGGCATTTGAGCACTGAGCAAACTTCTTGTGCAAGACATGAAACTTGACATGGATGGTCTTGAGGACCTATTATTTAGAACCCTTGAAACTCAAACATCTTGATGAGGAGTGAAACTCTAGTTTGAGACTCATTGTCTTAGGAGAAGGATTCGTCTAGTTAGTCAACTTGAGCAATTGATGACTTCTAGGAGTATGTTTTGAGTAAAAATGAGTGGGCAAATTTTGGGTGCAACACTTTCACAGAAACAGAAACTAAATCAAACGCATATGAAAGTGGATTATTCACATCTCAACGGCAAGCTGCAACTCTCAGATACCGCATCCACCATCCTCGATGAACCTACCGAATCGCAAGCATCCGGATCGAAACCTCGTTCACGCTGCAAATCACCGCTTCTAACCACCAGCAATCACGCCACATACTCAGATTAGCAAGTCCACGACGCAACTCGCGACACCCACTACAACCGCGTCCGACCCACCATAAATCTTCATCATACCCGCCGTTATGTTCTTGCGCTCCACCGTCACGAATCCGTCTTCTGAATTTCTTTTGGTGGTTTAATGTTTTTTTAACAAGTGGAAAAGAAAAAAGGAACGTGAGAGAGAGGGAGGAAGACGAATCTGCAACATGACTTTTGGGTCTTCTCTCACTTACTCGTTTGTTTGTTTCTTAGTTTTATTATTTTAAAACAAAATAATGCTTTGCAAATAAATGGTTGTTTCTTTTAAATTGAAAGTGCAATGAGATATTAATCCCTCGAATCCGCCGCCTTGCTTACTTACTAAAGTGGTTTTCTTTATTTTTTTTACTTTTTGATTTACATAATAATTGGGTCTTGGGCCCAACATTGCTAACTTGTACTCTCTATTAACTACACCCTCTGTTTATGTTTTTAGTTTATAAATTATTTATTTAGTTAATTTTTAGTTTTTATAATAATAGTAATTAAAATATCAAAATTATAAAATAACAATTAATTAATTCTAACATTCCATCAAAAAGGATGTTCACCTTCGAGTAATTAAACCGGTCGACACATCGTCTATCGATTTATTATCAAATAATTTAAATCCGCGTAATTCATCAAATAATATATTTGCGAATGATACATGGCCACGTGATGAGGGACTATATCAATCTCCCTTGCTCTACGTCTAAAAAGCATTCAACCAAACATCAAATCTTTTTTCGCAAATTAAAATTAATTCAAAAAATTGATTTTCGAAAAGGAATACAAATATATTTAAATTAACTGCGTGTTTGGTCTAACAAACTCCACTACTCACACTCTTAGACTACATATGCGGTAAATTCAAAATGTATTTCACAATCCATAAAAAATACAAACAACACCACGAACTATGAAATAGGATTCTGATTCCTCATAAGAGGATACGTAGGCATACGATTAAAATTGTGGTGAATTCCCACTAACTAAAATTCAAACCCTTTCCCTGTAATTAACATAAATAATTAAAACCCTATTTCCTAAATATCGCACTTCTAAGCCTAGTATTCTTCGAACAAGGTAGATAAGGGGGGCCTAACACCTTCCCCTCGTCTAGAACCGAGTACAAATCTAGAATCTATGAACCTTAGGGTTATTCCTTTATACTCTCTTCCTTTAGGATAAAAATTAAGGGTGACAACTCTGATTTAAAAACTAGTTGCAACAAATTGTGGTGACTATTTTCTATCTCTTGTATAAACTTTACAATCATAATAGCAATTATCCTAATTCTAAATTCTAGAATTAGAGGCAGACGTACCCCACGCGAGGACGACAGAGGGAACTGCCTAAACAAATTGCGTGTCATTTTTTCTTTCTCGTCTTTTACCGATTACTTGCTATAATCTATAAATTTACTCTTGTGGTTCTAACTGTTTGGATTTGTAATGCAATTGAACTATTACCAAAAACTATAGTAATCACTTTGATTGCTATAATTGATTTCAACACTACAAATTAAGATAGATTGGAATTGGTGTAATTACGCACACCAAGTATTCGATAAAAGTCCAAAAGTACAAATTTGCTAGTTTTCTTCTCAACAATTCATTGGAAGTAATTGACAATAATTAAAGAGTATAAGTGATCAATTATAATTGAGTTAAGTGTTAATAATTCTCATTAATTTATTCCATTCGGTTTTACGCATATCCGGTCTTTTCAATAGAGGATCGTTTTTAGACGAGTGTATCCGGGTAGCTTTCACTGTGTTTCAAGTTTTCCTTAAAAACTGATTTTAAAAGTTACAGTATCTATTCACCCCTCCCCCCCCCCCCCCCCTCCTTCTAGATACGTCCTATCGTCTAACAAGTGGTATCAGAGCACTGGTTCATCTAGTGCTTCATGTATAACTCTTTAGACAGTGGAGAACGATCCAAAAGGGGCATACAATAGAGCGCATATTTTCACCGTTGAAAACTATAGCTATTGGAAAGATTGTATATGTATGCATATCAATTCTGTTGATAGAAAAATTTGGGAAGTCATAGAAGAAGGTCCTATGGCCATAACTATGTTAAACAATGTGGGTGCCATTGTACCTAAACCGAAAGCACAATAGGATGAAAGAGATGAGAAAAACTATGCTTATAACTGGAAAGCTAAAAATATGCTCATATCAGCTCTTGGAGTTGATGAATACTTTCGTATCTCTCATTGTGCTACTGCTAAGGCAATATAGGATGCTTTACAAGTTACCCATAAGGGTATAAACGATGTCGAACTAGCAAGGATTAACATATTAACTCAAGAGTTTGATCTCTTTCACATGAAGCATGGTGAAACCATTGCGGACATGAAAAAGAGATTTTCTCACATAATAAATCTCTTACACACACTTGGTCATATTACTTCCAATGTTATTGCTATTAACAAGATTTTGAGATGTCTTAACAGGTAATGGCAACCTAAGGTCACGGCTATCAAGGAAGCCAATGATCTAACTACATTGGATCTTACAACATTGTTTGGTAAGCTTCAAGAACATGAGCAAGAGCTCACAAATCTTAATAAGCATGAAAAGAAAGAGAAGAAAGAAAAGTTGAGGGACACGGAGAAGAAGTCCATCGCGTTAAGGGATTAAAGTTCCAAGTCTTCCACCATAGATTCAAGTGGAAGTGACTCAAGTGATGGAGATGAGAGTCCGAATGAAGATTTGGGTTTATTCGTAAGGAAGTACAATCGATATCTTCGAAAGAATGAAATTCAACATTCGGACAAGAATCTCGTTGACTATAGAAGGCATGCTAAGCCAAACAAATATTTTGAAAGCAAGAGAGATAAGTCAAAAGGATATTGTTACAATTATGGGAAACTCGGTCATTATAAACCAGATTGTCCTTTGTTCAAGAAAGACAAAGCAAGAAATAAGTTTCAAAAGAATCCAAACAAATCTAGAAGAGCTTACATTGCTTGGGATACTGATAGTGATTCATCAAGCAAAGATGACTCTAGTGATGAAGAAGAAAAAGAAAACTTGTGTCTTATGGCGCATCACAAAAAGAAAAAGAATGTAAGTAACTCTAAATATGACTATGTTGATGATATGTCTTCTATTGAATTACTAAATGCCTTTAATACTCTACATCATGAGGCTAAGGAAGCTTTCAAACGCTTAGCCTCAAATAAAAAGATTTTCAAATACCTTGAGCATAAAGTTTCCAAATCCGAAAAGGAGTTGGAAACTCTCAAGGCATCCTTGATAGAGAGTATCAAAGACAAAGATGAAATTGACAAGACCTCTTGGCAAAATTGGCATGGATGTGAAACTTGTCACATTTGGAAAAAAGAGACTAAAGTTCTTAAAGCCAATTTAGACAAGGCTTTACAGCCCAAAGTTACATTTGCTATTGATCGTTAAAACTTTAGAAAAAGCATGATTAATCCCTATCAAAAATATTTTTATCAAATAAGAGATCAATCAAGCAAAAGTAACTCCTATCAAGACTCAACTTGTCTATATTATTGCAAGGAGGGACACACCATTAAAAATGTTGATTTATAAGATTTTTGGTACCTAATGGCATTTTTAAATGGTCTCCCAAAGGCAACACATGTTTCACTCACACACAAGGACCCAATAAAAATAGGGTACCTAATTCCCTTGTTTGATTTTGTAGGTGGAATGTCTTGAGACTACAGAGAGAAGATGGTTTCTCGACAGTGGGTGCTCAAGACATATGAAGGGTGACATTTCCCTATTCTTTGACTTTGTGGCTAAGAAGAAGGGCTTTGTATGGTGATAACAACAATGGAGCTATACCCGGAAAAGGTAGTGTAGGTAATCCCTCTTCTACTATTATCTCAGATGTCCTTTTAGTTGAGGGTCTTAACCATAATCTCATTAGTATTAGTCAATTATGCGACAAAGGATATAAAGTTTCCTTTTCAAAATATTGTTGCTTAATTGAAAATAGTGATAAGGAACTTGTGTTTAAAGGCATGAGGGATAATAATGTATATATGCTTGACTTGAATGAAGTATCTTTGACCGGTGCTAAATGTCTTGTCTACATGAGTGAAGGCTCATGGCTTTGGCATAGGCGATTAGCGAATGTCAATTTTGACTTGAGAAACAAATTTGTATCAACAGATCTAGTTGTTGGTTTACCAAAAATAAAGTTTTCTAAAGATCACTTATGTGATGCATGTCAAATGGGCAAACAACAAAAATTTCTTTTAAATCTAAAAATATTATCTCTATAACAAAACCACTTGAACTTCTCCACATGGATCTTTTTAGACCATCTAGAATAAAAAGTCTAGGTGGTAATTATTATGGTTTTGTTATAGTAGATGATTTCTCTAGATTTTGTTTATTAGCTAGCAAAAGTGACACTTTTTTCGCGTTTGAAAATTTTGCTAAGATGTTCCAAAACAAGTTAAAAGCTAAAATTGTTACAATCCGAAGCGATCACGGGGGTGAATTTGAAAACCACCTCTTTAGGAATTTTGTGAAAAACATGGCATTGATCATAATTTTTCCGCACCATGTACTCCACAACAAAATGGAGTAATGGAACGCAAAAACCGTGTTTTAGAAGAACTCGGAAGAACTATGATCAATGAACATGCCCTTCCTAAGTACTTCTGCGCCGATGCCATAAGTATGGCTTGTCATATTTTGAATAGGATCCTAATCCATCCAATTCTAAACAAAACTCCATATGAACTACTAAAAGGAAGAAAGCCTAATATTTCACACCTTCACGTTTTCGGATGTAAATATTTTCTGTTGAATAATGGAAAGGAAAATCTTGGTAAGTTTGATCCAAAAGCAGATGAAGATATCTTTCTCAGATACTCTCAACCTAGTAAAGCTTATAGAGTATTTAATAAAAGGTTACAAATTGTTGAGGAATTTGTGCATGTATCTTTTATTGAATCTTGTCCAAGATCGGTTGGAAAAGGTATTGTATT